GGGGGAATCAAACTGTTTGTCTCACACTCATGGTACATTTATGGATGGATGACTATTGTTCGTTATCTGCTTCTTTCAATGTCAGGAAATTTATTGAGGAATTCTTCTCTTTTCTGTGCAAGTTTTTGTTTGGTAGGCATTTTTGTTCAATAAAGTTAATAGGCTTGTTTTTGGAACAGAAAAACAGTATCAGCACAATCAGGAATGTGGCCAACATATGTTGTGTTCAGTTCTCTGCTCACTCCACCCATTTGTTGGCATTTGGTTCTGCCGATTATAAGACTTATTGCTATGATCTTCGGAATACAAGAATCCCTTGGTGTACATTGGCCGGGCATGGGAAAGCTGTTAGCTATGTAAAATTCCTAGATTCTGAGACCCTTGTTTCTGCATCCACTGACAATACATTAAAGCTCTGGGATCTCAACAAAACCAGTTTTAGTGGGTTGTCCACCAATGCTTGCAGCTTAACCCTTGGTGGTCACACTAATGAGAAGGTTGGTCTCTTTTGTTCTAGATATGTCTTGCTTTCAGAACCCTTAAACGTGGCTGCTTATCTGCTTACTATTTGCTTTCTGCTTTTTCAGAACTTTGTTGGTCTATCAGTTTCTGATGGGTATATAGCTTGTGGTTCAGAAACCAATGAGGTATACTTGGACTTCAACATTGAGCTTAGTTTTTACTGTGCATGTCAGAACTATAGAATGGAGCTCATTTGATTGGTTCTGCGTTGTTAATCTCTTGCTTTGAATACAAACTGGCATTTGGATTAATCATCTAGGACTTGATCCTGTACTGACTGCTTATATTTTTCCAGACCTTCCAATGTTAAGACTTGATAAGATGCTTATGGTGTCAGACAAGTCAAGTTTGCTTATAGTTGAAATAGTTCTGACAATCTACAGGATAGAGACTATCGAGGTCATCCAGATGGTTTAAAGTTTGCATCATGGTCTTGTGACTTGATATGTATATCCATTAGGGACCAATTGTATTATATGATAATCACAACACAAAGCACTGTTCAAAGCTGTTTAATAATGGCTGAAGTTGCTGAAATGATGACTTTGTCACTTTGTCTTTTACTGGATACGATAATTATATAATAAAATATTCAAAGGTAAAGTAATCAACCTTCAATCATTAAGGAGATTCACTAAAAGACATAACAACAAGTCGTTCAGTTCAGCTTCTTTAGTTGTTAACAAATGGCCCCTAGTACGAGTGTAATCTAGGCCCATGGGAAAGAGGAATTCTATTTGCATGTAGTAGTTATTTATCTTTGAAAAGCTTTGGTTGGAGGTGGCAGGGGATTCACAGCCAATGGTTGAGTGGATGAAAAGGAGGGGGGGAGTCTCCATAGAAGTATACACATGCTCTTAATGAGGGAAAAATCCTAGCCAGAAGACTGACCACCCCATTCAGATGGGTCAGGGGATCTGCAAAAACTGTGGCTGATGTAGAGGAGCAAATAGGACTGTTGGAGATTTGCCTATCCAATGTATAGACAAAGTGACCATACTTGTATTCTGGAGAGGATGAACAAGATGGCTCACTCTTATGGGGTGAGCTATAACATACTGTACTTTTTTATAAAATCTCACTAATCTGCTAACAATCAAAAAAGACCTAAAAAAGAAGAGAACAAAGTACTGTGGCCTAGGAAAAGAATGCTTCATTGATAGACAAGTATCAGGACATCCTCAACCCAACATCTTCATAGACTACAAATTTCATATCCCATTCAGATGCCATGGAACCTACTCTGGAAATATTTTAGATGATCGGTTATCGATTGGATTAAGATGACATCTAATGTCATATTCCTTTGGATGGCCAAAGAAGAATAGGAAGAAATGTAGTTTCTCTTTTTTTTTTTTGTAGAAATAGGATAAAGTTTTCTAACTCTGGCTTTTTTTTTTTTCTTTCAGGTTTATGCATATTACAAATCTTTCCCTATGCCAATCACTGCTCACAAATTTGGTTCCATTGATCCTATTTCCGGCCAAGAGACTGGAGATGACAATGGACAATTTGTCTCTAGTGTCTGTTGGAGAGGGAAGTCAAACATGATAGTTGCTGCTAACTCTAGTGGAAGTATAAAGTTGCTGCAAATGGTATAAGGAAGATGTACTTTTCCCCAGCTGTGCACAGCTTTTTGGTCCTACAAATTTGGGAGTCCCTGGGGCTGGGGTGAAACAAACTTCACCCCAAACAAAAGTAATAGGAAAACAGATGTGAGAACTGAGAGATTGACGACAGAAGCAGAAGAAAGATGAGCCACCAGGTATCTTTGTGATTGTAATTAACTGCTGTTTGGTTCTCCTTGTCCTTGCTTATCAAAGAAAATAGTCAGCTTTGTCAAACCAATTGCTCAGTCGATTATAACATCTTAGCTCCATACTGAGCTCCTAGGTTTGATTATAGAGAGGCTTGGTGCAGTTGAATACCTCGTGGCATGCAGCGTCAACCCTGGAAGACAATACCAGATGGGGCTCCAGTAAATCTTCATGGAAAATTATCCAGTATCTTCAAACCAGGAGTTAAGGTACAACTGCAAGGTTCTTAAGCTTTAGTGCCATCAGATTATGTTGCAGAATAGCAAAAGGCCTTCAAGACATGGTTGAAGCATTTGCATTGAAGTTGTTTTAGACTCTGGGTTCAGGCATTTGCGAAGAAGTTGCACAAGATCCTGGACTCAAGTCTGCGAGACAGATGTAATGGTTACAAGTTGAGCGTTGCCTTGCTTGCTATCCAATTAAATGTTGATTATTCAACAACAAACTAAATGTTGATGGTGCCAACGAATCATATTGGGGTGATTGAAGAGCTTGGAGCTTTACGTGACAACGATAATACCTGTTTGACACAGCCTGTAAATTTGTACATTTAAGCGGATTAACTGTGCGGTCCTTCATATTTTGTGGTAAGAGAATGCCTGTTTAACATACATTTCTTCATGAGGATTAACTGACCCTGTTAAACAATTCAAAAAGAAAAAAAAAAACCACTTAACATGTATCTAGATAAATTATTGTTGAAATTTATATACATTATATGAATTACATAATGTATCTCAATTTAGAGAGGCCGAGTTTTGGTATAATATCCCAGTTTTATTATTCTGGCGATATTCAAGTGGTTTATTCTTTTTTCAATGTTAATAAATCTTGATCTGAATTATCCAAATCTGTGACTACCATGCATTTGTTTTTCTCTTTGTTTTAGCCTCCTTGTGGCCCAAACATCTACCGATATCATCCTTGTTATGACAACTACTTTGGAGACAGGATTTCATCAGAATCTCAGAAAGTCCAAGTGGAGAGGACAGAGGGCTAGAGTGAGGTTTTGGTGTAAAACGTAATTATTGGCTTATTTCTTTGGCCATATCGTTCAACTATTAGGTGATTGCTTTTTTATTTTTCAAATTTTATGGATCTTCTTTCTCCAGTCTTCTGTTGATTACTATCCACAATTTTTTTTTTCTTTTTTCATGGTTCTTGGCGTTTCAGATGGTAACTATAGATTGTCGAACTTATTTTGGCAACATGAAGTTCTGGACCTTATGCTTATGGTACATGAATAAGGCAGCATTTGGTAATATTGCAATAAGAAGCGCATCAAAGTTTTAAGGGAAAAATGAAGTAACATTGATTCACTAAAGTTTTTATATATTTCTAGTTTTTTATATATCAAATAGCAGAAAAATATTTTTCTTTTTCTTTTTTGGTTATTGAGCTTCAAATTTATTCCTTTTCATATAGTAAAAAAATGTGTTTAACATGAGATTAATAACCAATTTAAAAAACAATTTCAGAAATTGAAATGATGAAGATAAGATTCATGTTAGTGATTTTTATTATTGAACTAGAAGAATTCTTGAAATAAATTTACATTAAATTAATAAAAGAATGGGAAAATCTATGATATAGAAAAAGTATCTTTTCCATATCATATAGGATGATATGGACCAATCAACATTCGACTTGTCTGTGCCGATGAATACTGGTTATCCCATGTAAACGTCATCCTCCCCCCTTCTCTCTTTCTCTCCAAATTCCAACCCCCATTCCTCTCTCTATTGGTGGCCGCTGTTGAGGTCTCCTCTCGTGGAACGTCTTTTTATTCTCTCTACTTAGGACCTTGGGTAGTCTCTAGTTTGTTTCTTGCTTTCTCTCTCATGCACACTCTATTCTTCTCTTTTTGCGCTTTCAGTGATACAGAAAGACACACACCTCGATCTTCGCCTCTGAATTGTATGGGTTTATAATATAAGATCACATTGTTTTTTTTTGTTGTTGTCGGGAGAGGGTGAGAAGCAAATCAAAACGAAAATGTTGGGTTTCTTATCTTGGTTTTGGGTGCCATCTTCTTGCCAACAGTGGTGTTTTGTGGATTTGCGAAGAGGCCGAAGCTCGAAAGAGATTTTCCAATAAACCAGAGAGTTGAGCTGAGTGAGTTTAGAGCTCGTGATAGTGTTAAGGCACCACCAAATCTTGTAGGGTGGGATCGTCGATTTTCCTGTCAAGGGTTCCTACAATCCTTACACCATCAGGTAATTTTTCCTGTTTTTTTTTTTGTCCGTGGTTGATTTTAAGCTTTGGATTCAATTGAGGATGGTGTTTAGCTTTCGGGTTTTGTTTCTTGAATTAGTTTCTGTTCTTGGATGGAATTTGTTTATCTTCTTTTACCTACTCGTTATTTTATAATTTATATTGATGGGCTTTTGATATTCTTTGCTTTTTTACTGTTTCCTTTTCTTTGTTTAATAGGTTCTAGATGTGATGATTCTTGATATTTTGAGGTTCTTTAATTTGCAAATTGACAACTATGTGGGTCTATACTGTTCTTTCTCTTTCGATGTAGTTTATAGATGGGATTTCGTAGATGTTGGCTCCTTTTCTTTATTTGTTTATCTTCTTTGGCTTTTGATCTCTTTAAAACTCTACAGGGTGGAGATTTATTGTAATGGTTTTGACACATTTTTTTTCTTTGAACCAAACTCTATTTTACAACAGTGAAATTGGGGACTCCTCCAAAAGAATTCTATGTTTAAATTGATATCGGAAGTGATGTCTTGTGGGTCACTTGCAATGCCTGCAATGGTTGCCCCAAATATAGTGGCCTGAATGTAAAGCTCTCTTTCTTTCTTTCTTTCTTCCGCCTCCTTCCTCTTCTTTCATTTCCATTGACATTTTTGTAGATGAAATCCTTACCAAGACTATTACATTTTTGCAGATTGCTTTGAATTTCTTTGACGCTGCCACCTCATCCACAACTTATCTAGTATCTTGTTTAGATGAAATATGGAATTTGGCAGTTCAAACTTTAGATGATGGTTGCACTACTCAAAATTTCTAGTGTGGTTACTCCTTTTAGTATGGTGATCGAAGTGGGACATCGAGTTATTATTGTACAAGATATGTTCTTCTTTGACACAGTTCTCGGGAACTAGCTTATTAGGTTTTTTGGATATTTTAAAATTTAATTACAATATAAAATAATTAGTTACCGGTTATTATAGTAAATCTAGTAATAGCTGTAAACGTGGCATTGTGAGGGATTTTCGATACCATATGATTTTCCATATCATAGTCGGACCCTAAAAGAATAGAGAAAAACCTAATAACTCATAGAAAGGAGAAATGGTTTCTTTAGACTTTTATATAAGAAGAATATTGGTTCACCCCATGTATTAGTGGAAAATTTTGGGTTTTGATATTAGTTTGGGGGAAAGTTAGGGTTCATATTTAGGTTGGCCCTTAACCTAACCCAATTTATCTTATTAGCATTCTTACTTTATTAGATACAATGAAAAGGGACTAAAAGAGATTTAAGAGAAAAAGAGGGATTTAATGGGGAGGGGAGATGCTACAAACATTGACTACTAAGGTGCGACCGTGTGTGTGTGTGTGTGTGTGTGTGAGAGAGAGAGAGAGAGAGAGAATAATGGTATTATTAGTTTAAATATGGAATTTATGAGAGACAATAAAGACCTATTAGGATTTTAATTTTGCCTTATTATATTTTTAATGATTTCATAAATATGCACATGCACAAGAAAGGAGAGTAGGAAAAGGCATATGTGAGCTCTATGGTGAGAGGACTTCTCACCTCCCATCTTATATGCGCGATTTGGTGCTCCCTGATGGAGGATAGCTCGGACGTTGCGACGACAAGGTCGGATGGCCAAGCTGCAATAGAATAGAGTCAGAGTCCCTGGGGTAGGCACTCTGATGCTTAAGTCAGTGATGAGTGTTGAGAATGCAAGAAAGCGAGAGAGCTCGAGAGTCTAAGAGCTAAATCGTGCATACCTCTTTTTGGTTGAAGGAGGTGCCCTTATATAGGCAAGGGTCTCCCATACCACGTTCGAGATCTCCGAGGGAACGCGACTTACCAACACACAATCCTTGGAGGTGGTTCTAATGGATAACGATGAGGCTTTTCCCAAAAGCGGGCTGTATGGAAGTCAGTTCACTTAGGCGATGTGATCCCGAAGGAATTAGAGAGGATAAGTCGCACGCACACAGGTCACTACCTAGACCTTAGTTAGGTCGCTAAGACTTCAATGGGAGATCACCCCTCATATCGAAGTCTCTGGCCTAGTCTAGAATGAGGTGCACCAGGTCGGCCCTAGATGAGGTGGTGTCGGGTGCTCTCCTAAAGTGCGCAAGGTGCACCCGAGGTGAACCCAACATTCTTGATAAGGGCATGTGATTGCCTATGTGGCATCGAGGTTTTATACAACGATTTGGAAGTGCCACGTGTCGCAATGTCACTGGAGGGCTGAATCTCCCCTCATCACTAGAGAAACCAGTTTAAGGTCTTGTGACCCAAAGCTTGGGATATAATGAGTATTTGTGTTTTTTGAATTAGTTAATGAATTCATGTTAATCTATACTACTTATAAAAAAGCGAATGCCCCTTCTTTCTAGAATTTTCACTAGACGTTTTCTACCCCATTTGTCTAAGCATACAACAGGCATAAAGAGGGCATATATGTCCTTTACTCTCACTTCAGAAACTACCCACTTATAACCATATAAGAAAAGGTCTACTAAAGAGTCTTTACAACAAGAGTGTCGTGGGGATAAAAAAGAAAAATAACACCTATAGCCCCCACATTTTATCATCAATAGATAGATAAGACAAATAAGCACAGAAAATGCATAAAAGTATGAAACAAAACAAATTTGCTTTCATCGAAGGCACTGCCACGTGCAAATGCACATACACATTTACTAGTATCTTTAAAAATATAGTTGAATAACTATTTTGATAAGATTGTAAATTGTAACTATTTTATTAAAAATTTGAAATGAAGTAGAAATAAAAAAGGATGGATAAATCTCTCCCCATTGGTAGGGATAGGGATGGGAATGGTTCCCATCCCTGCCCCACTTTGTTGAATTTACATATCCGGCCCAAAAGGGGCTGCCCCACAGCACATCCCCACCATGTATTGGGAAAATCTCCTGATGATGACATCATTGGTTCTAGTACTATTATTGGGAGATGTTCCCAATACATGGTGGGGATGTGCTGTGGGGCGTTGTGAGGTGGCACCTTGTGGGGCGGAGATGTGAACTCCACTTTGTTGTCATTCTTATTCTTGAAAATATTAAAGGCATCTAACAAAAGAGGGTAAATTCTAAAAGAACCCCTAAACTATGATCAATGTTTCACTTTACAACCCTCTGAAAAGAAATATTACTCTCTTCAAACTTCTTTTTTTGGTATTCGGTGCCATGCACTATTAATAACTTCCCCCTTACCCCTTTTCCCCCAAAATGCAGGTTGGGGGATTCATTCCGCATCAACGGAGCAAACTGATTAACACACCAACAGCCAGCCCTCGATTGATTACTCCCTTCAAACTTTCACATGTGTGTCAAATAACCTTTAAATAGCATTTGATTATCTGAATTCAAAGCGCCCTTGTACTATCTAACAATTACTTAAAGTACCCCTAAAATTCAAAACGACACTCCTAAACTATAAAAAAAATGACATATACCACCCTTCCATTAGTCATCTACTACATTACATTTACATG